GATATTGTCTGCTGTCTCCTGGACATTCAGGAATTTTTTTCTTCATTTGTTGATTGTAGATTTGTTTGTTTCATCCTGCTTTTTTATTTCATTTGGTTGTATCTAGGCAGGCAGGCTGAGTGTATTTTGTTGCTTGCTCACCTGTGGGCATGATACTTCTCACCACCTTGTCCAGGTGGACAGGGCCAGTCACTCAGCTACGGTGCAGCAGGGTGGGTCCAGCGGGGGTGGAAGGGAGGGGATGAGTAGTTCGTGGCACGAACTGGAGCTGACGGGGTGAGGTCACCGGGCAGTGCAGGGCAGGATCCAGGGGACTGCGTCAGTGCTGCTCTGGGGAATGGAACTCGGTGCACGGTGTAGATAGGCAGGAAAAAGGGGACAGGATGTGACGTATGGAGTTTAGTGGGTAAGTAAAAGGAGAGAAAGAAGAGAGAGAAACAAAAACAAAAACAAGCAAAAAGAAAAAAAATTAAGGAAAAAAGGTAAATAAAATGGTGGCACTGTAGGATTTGGCGAGTGGGTGCGGGGCAGATCCATCGAGGCCATGTGCCAGTGGCTCTCAAGCCAAGAGGTTCAGCTCAGCCTGTCGAGAAGGGGCATGGGCAGCGCACAGGGCTAGGTGGGCAGGAGAAAGGAAAGGTAAAAGGGGAAACAGAAGAGACCAATAAACAAAAATAATAATAAAATAAAAATAGAAACAACAACAAAATAAATAAATTTGATGATGGGGGAGCCGGTCATTGGGGGTGGGGTGGAATTTGGATGGCAGCAAGTTGATGTCTCCCTCGCTGGGTGGCACAGCACGGCCCATCAGGAAGAGGTGGAGGCAGCATACGGCCTAGGTGGGAGGGAGAAGGAAAAGGGGAAAGATAAAGAAAAATAAAAAATATGGCACTGAGGGAGCCAGCGTGTGGGAGTAGTACAGATCCGGGGAAGCCATGTGCCAGAGGCTCTCCAGCCAGGCGGTACAGCACAGCCTGCCAAGAAGGGGGGGTGGGGTGGCACATGGGGCTAGGTGGGTGGGAGAAAGATAAGGAAGGAAGGGAGAGAGAGAGAAGAAACAACAACAACAAAGAAAAAACAAAACACAAATAAAATGGCGCTGAGGGAGACAGTTGGTGATGGCAGCACAGACCCGAGAAGCCACGTGCAGTGACCCTCCAGCCGAGCAGTACAGCATGGCTCCTTGAGAAGGTGTGGGGGTGGGGCACAGGGCTTGGGGGGCAAGAGAAAGGAAAGAAAGGAAAGGAGAGAGAGTGATTAAACAGAAAAGAAAAGAACAAAGCAAACAAACCCAAAAATCACAGCCCGTCAAGAAGAGAAAGGGATGGCACACAGGGCTAGCTGTGTGAGAGAAAGGAAAGGAAGGAAAGGAGAGAGAGAGAAGCAACAAAAAAAGCCAAAAAAAAAGAAAAACAATAACAAAAAACAAACAAACAAAATGGCACTGAAATGGCTGGCCAGTAGGGGCTGGGTGGGCCTGGGTGGCAGTGAACTGGTGTCTCTCTGGATGAGTGACCATGACCCATTGGAAAGCAGAAGGGTGTGGGGCAGGAAAGCGTGTATCCCTGGTTACCAAGTGCTCTGTCTCGTGCTAGGAGCTCTGTGAAGTTGCCTTCCTGTACCTCCTGTCTGCAGTCCTTGGTGGCTGAATTCCAAGATGACGAATCCAGGCAACAGTGAGCTGGTGTATCTCCGGCCGAGCGACTGTGGCCCATTGGAAAGTGGCAGAGGCAGCATAAAGGGAAAAAGGGTGGAGGGTGGGAAAGCATGTATCCCTGGTTACCAGGTGCTCTGTCTCCTGTCGGGAGCTCCGTGAAGCTGCCTTCTCATACTGTCTGCGTTCTTTGGTGGCTGTAGTCCAAGATGGCAAATCCATGCCATATTAGCTGGCAAGCGACCTACACTCCCTAGCTCTACTTATTCTCTGCTCTCTGTCAGTCTGTTATTCCATTCGGTGCTTGATCTAGTTCTTTATTCCTTCATTTGATGCTTAGTGTTCCAGGATTGATGCGTGTATCTGTTTTACTTAGTTTTCTGGGTCTCTGCTGCAGAGGGACAGCATGGTGCTTCTGTCTATAGTGCCATGTTGGCTCCACCTCCCTACTGTATACTTTCTCTGTGTGCTAACTGCTTCATAGACATTTGTTGTTGTTAGATGCCATTGATTTGGCACGCTACTCATGGCAACCCTGTGCACAACAGAATAAAATGCTGCCCAGTCCGGTGCCATCCTAGTCCATTTCAGTCTGGAAACTCCACTGAAACCTGTTCAGCATCATAGCAAAACAATCATCACTGACAGAGAAGTGGTGGCTATACATGAGGTGCATTGGTCAGGAACCATATCTGGTCTCCCACACAGAAGGTGAGAATTCTACCACTGAACTAACAATGTCCCCTTATAGACACTTGTTGTGTGCCATGAAGTCAATTCCAACTCATAGCAACCCTATATGACAGAGTAGATCTGCCCCATTGGGGTTTCCTAGGCTGTAATCTTTACAGGAGCAGATAGCCAGGTCTTTTCTCCCGCAGAGCGGCTAGTGAGTTTCATCCGGCCAGCACTTAACTACTGTGTCAGCAGGGCTCCTTTTATAGACACTAAATCAAAAAAAAAAACCAAACCCATTGCTGTGAAGTTGATTCTGACTTATAGCAACCCTACAGGACAGAGTGGAACTGCTCCATAGGGCTTCCAAGGAGCAGCTGGTGGATTCGAACTGCTGACCTTTTCATTAGCAGTGGAGCTCTTAACCACTGTGCCACCAAGGCTCCTTACAGACACTAAACCCTATAAATTAGGAAGTATGTTATGGATGAGGAAACTGTGATTAAGAGAAGTTCTGTAATTTTTCTCAAGTCCAGAAGTATGATTCAAATCCATGTCGTTATGAGGCCATGCTCATAATTCTTATGCTATGCTGACTCCAACCACAACACCTAGAAACTTTAGGAAAATTGATCTTAAAGTTGATACCCAGTTAGAACACCTAAAAATCTGTCTCAAAGATTTAATGATTAATTACATTTTTCTCAAAAGGAACTAATTGGTCTACTGCTGAAGAAAATGATTATACTAGTAATATTACCAGTAATAGAATTTGCCATGCTTGCTGCTGTCCCTGCTGTCCCATATATGAACTGTGAATTTGTAGTAAGATCCTAGGATCAGTTACAGGGGGAAAATGTCTGTCCAGTGGAAGGATCAAGCTGACATCGTCTTAACCCAGTGCTCAATATTAGCTTTGCCAGTGGTGGAAAAACCAGAGGTACTCTCCGTGACTCCTAAAGATGAGAATGCATCACCTGTAATGATTGCTAGCCAAAATGTTTACATTGATCTAATCAAGCATTTGGCCCTTATCTTCAATTTCAGGAATTACAAGAACCAGAGGAAAAACCTAAATGACACTAGGAGGAGGAAATGAGACAAATCCAGAAGGTGAGACATTTTCCAGAACAACTGGCCTGGTCTCTTCAACAAATCAGTCTAGTGAAAAAAAGAGGCTGTCTAGATGAAAAGACTTAGAGATGTAACATCCAGATGTACTGCATGGTCCTGCACTAAATTCTGCTTCAGACAATCCAGCTGCAAAGTACATTGTAGAGGCAACTATGGAAATTTGAATATGATGAGTACTAAGCAAAGTTAAGACCAATTATATTAGTTATGATCATGATAATTTAGTAAGAAGGGCAATGTTCTTATTTTAAAAATATATATACTCAAGTATTTAGAGGTAAAATGTTACAACGTCTGAATTTTATTTTACATCAACACAAACATAAATACAGTTTTGAAAAACAAGGGGGTCAGTTGCAAAAAAAATTGAGTATAAAAGGTTCAAGGTTCATAAATTATGCTCTGATGCCAAGGATTATGCTTAATTGGACAAAATGATACATGGATAAAAAAGCTGTAATCTCAAGAGGTCTCTTCACTGCCCTCCGAAGTGCAAAACAGAATATTTTTCAAATTTAAAGTAAAATATTAACTTAAAAAAAATCCCTTAATACAATTTTAGACACATTTTCAGGCTTGTTATATCAAATATTCAGAATCACTAAAGAGAGGAACTAGAACACCTGAAATCATAATAGTCCAGAATAATTACAACTGAGGCAACAGGGAATAATGATATTCATACTGCTATCTTTATTGCACATGCTTCATTTCCATACCCTACCTGGGAATTGTGGAGGGTCACTATGAGTCGGAATTGACTCAACAGCAACGGGTTTTGGTTTTGGGTGGCAGAGTGGTTAAGCATTCGGCTGCTAACCGAAAGGTCGGCAGTTCAAATCCACCAGCTGCCCCTTGGAAACCCTACAGGGCAGTTCTACTCTGTCCTACAGGGTCACTATGAGTCGGAATTAATCACTTGTACATGAATAACCAAAAAAACACCAAATCTATTGCCGTCGAGTCAATTCTGACTCATAGCGACCCTACAGGACAGAGTAGAACTGCCCCACAGGGTTTACAAGGAGCACCTCGTGAATTCGAACTACAGACCTTTTGGTTAGCAGCAGTAGCTCTTAATCACTACACCACCAGGGTTTTGTACATGAATAAACATCCCTTATTCTAAGCACATAACTAACAAATAAGGAAGCAAAGTTCAAAAGTTGAGACACTATCTGGGAGGAGAGGAGTGAAAATTCAGTTATAGCCTAACTCTGTTAGTGTTCATTACATGACTTCAGTTAAGTCACTGTGGTTGACAATGCTGGTCATTAGCTGGGAGTAACATAAAGGCTACCAATGAAAAGTAGTAAAAGGCTTAGAGTTTTATCTAAGCTCAGACACGAGCAGGTTAGACCTGCAGAGTACACATAAATTCTCTCCATGGAGTCCATAGCCTAGTACAAAGATCAAAATGTGGCTTTTTCTATTTGTTCAAGGAAATGCACAATTGAAACAAACACCACCTGCCTTTGGGTATGAAAATAATAGATTCAAAATATGAAACAAAACAAAAACAATAAATAAAAACCTCAGGCCAAGCTGCCTGCAGATCACTTCTGCATCTGCATCGTCCCATTGGTCATCACAAACAGTTCCCCACTGACCAGCATGGTAGACTTCCACTCGGCCTTCGTACGCACTGCTCCCCCCAACGAGGCGTAAGACCGGGAATGTGGGGCCTGTGGGATGTAAAATTAAAAACAGATTAAACTTATATATTTAAGTTGAGCAGTGTTATGGACTGAATTGTGTCTCTCAAAAATATGTGCTGTAAATACATGTAGATATACTTCCACCTGTGAATAGGGTTTTCTTTGTTATACTAATGGGGCTATATCAGTGTAGGGTGTACCTTTTTTTTTTTTAATTTTTTTTATTGTACTTTAAATGAAGGTTTACAGAACAAGCTAGCTTCTCATTTAACAATTAGTACACATATTGTTTTGTGACATGTCAACACTCTCCCCTTCTCGATGTTGGGTCCCTTATTACCAGTTTTCCTGTCTCCTCCTGCCTTTTAGTCCTTGCCTCTGGGCTGGTGTGCCCCTTTAGTCTCATTTTGTTTTATGGGCCTGTCTAATCTTTGGCTGAAGGGTGAACCTCATGAGTGAATTCATTACTGAGCTATAAGGGTGCCCAGGGGCCATACTCTCGGAGTTTTCTTCAGTCTCTGTCAGGCCACTAAGTGTGGTCTTTTTCTGTGAGTTAGAATTTTGTTCTACATTTCTCCCCAGCTCTGTCTGGGATCCTCTATTGTGATCCCTGTCAGAGGAGTTGGTGGTGGTAACCGGGCACCATCTAGCTGTGCTGGACTCAGTCTGGTGAAGGCTGTGGTCATTGTGGTCCATTAGTCCCTTAGACTAATCTTTCCCTTGTGTCTTTGGTTTTCTTCATTCTCCCTTGCTCCAGACGGGGTGAGACCAATAGACTATCTTACATGGCCGCTCACAAGTTTTTAAGACCCCAGACACTACTCACCAAAGTAGAATGTAGAAGATTTTCTTTATAAACTGTTATGTCAATTGAGTTAGATATTCAGAATAGGGTATATCTTAAGCCAATTACTTTTGAATATGAAAGGAGCCATTTAGGCACAGAAGCAAGCACGCACAAATAGAGAAAGACTGATGCCACGTGGAGATCATTAAGGAACAGAGGAAAAGAAGCTGGAAGACAAGGGTTTTCCCCCAGAACAGAGAGAGAGAGCCTCCTTCTAGAGTCGGTGCCCTGAACTCAGACTTCTAACCACCTAAACTGTGAGAAAATAAATTTATCTTTGTTAAAGTCACTCACTTGTGGTATTTCTGTTATAGCAGCACTAAGAAACTAAGGCAAGCAGTAAATTAGGTATATTTCTTTGCCATTCTCAATAATTTAAAAAAAAAAAAAGTTTCCGTGGAGTAGGTTCTGACTCATTGGGACCCCATGCGTGTCACGGTAGAACTGTGTTCCACAGGGTTTTCAATGGCTGATTTTTTGGGAACAGATTGCCAGGCCTTTCTTCCGAGGTGCCTCTAAGTGGACTCAAACCTACAACTTTTTGGTTAGTAGCTGATCAGTAACCATTTGCACCACCAAGGGACTCCTTCTCAATAATTAAACAATATTTATTAAGCCACTTCAGTGATATGCACACATACACACATATATAATGGTGATCTTGACCAATTAAAACACTCCAGATCAACTTATGTTCATACAACTAGCTCTTAAAAGGAAATCATCTCAATTCACTTTTCAACAACCTGTGAAACCAGAGAAGACACATTCAAAGGCTGTAGTTTACTGGAAGTAGGTTTGATTTTTATGGTATTATGGTGGTGACATTGATTTTTTTTTTTTAATTTACAGTAGCTTGAGCATTACTAACATGTACTTATTAATAACAGCACTTATGTGTATAATAGATTTTCAGTACAGAATTATTTTTATATTTGTGAAATCATTATAACTAATTATAGCAAGTTGATGACCAGTACCTTTAAAATACAATATAGAAAATTCATTTGGGCATGAATCAGTTCACATTCACTTCCTTGGTTAAGAACCACCAAAGGCTTCCATTGTTAATTCCTTAATATAGTCTACTATGTCCTGATCTAGTCCTTGTCAGTCTCTGAATTTCTCTCCAATCCTGGCCTCATGTGCTAGACTGTAGCAACAATGCCCTCTTCCTTTTGTCCCATAAACACCGCAAGTTGGTTCCCGCCTCAGGGTCTTTACACTTGTTGTTCCTTCTCCTTGGAATAATGTTACCGCAGATTTTTACATGGTTGCCTCCTTCTCATCATTCAGGTCTCAACTCCAAAATGCCCCTTCTTCAAGCAGCCTCCCTAGGCTACTCTAGTTTAGCTGTTTAGACAGCGTCCCAAGATACTTTCATACACTGCCTAATTTTGCCTTCCTCATAGTATTTACTTCTACCTAAAATTGTCATTTATTTATTGGTTTACATGTCAATTGTCTGCCTCCTCCCAGCTGGAACTGAGGTCAGAGACACCATCTTTCTCTTTCACCTCTATTCCCTCCCAAGACCTAGAATGGTGGCCAGCATACATAACAAACATTTGGTGGATGACTGACTGGACTGGCAAGTGACAGCAAAAGACCTAAAAAGGATACCCCAAATTTTCATTCAATTTTGTTTAACAAAGAGATATTAAGAATCTTTTGTGCGCAAGGTACTGCAGTAGGTGCTACCTGGTGCTCAAATGGGCATTAGACAGACTCCGCCCTTAAGAAGTTCATTGCCTCAGGACATGGCTAAAATGAGTACAGATAAGAATTTATCAAGAAAACCCTGCAGAGGTTCAGAAGACAGTGAGCTTACTCACAGTTGGATGTAGTTAAAGAATCTCTTGTGAAGAAGCTGGTATTTGAAGAGGACCATGATGGATGAGTGGGATTGTGGAAGTCAGAGATGTGGGGAATGCAGTTGAAGCAAAATGAACAGTATGAACAAAAGTATGGAAACACTTTTGAATTGTTCGAGAAATAGTAAGGTAGTCTAATTATTATTTTTTTAAAATAACTGATGTATATAGAAAAAGTGAACAGGAGTGGTCCATATCAGGAAGTTTACCTGCAAATGCTAATCAGTTATCCACAGGGAAATATGTTTCTAATTCTTTCACAGCATAAGTGGCTATTGTCTTAGTTATCTAGTGCTGCTATAACAGAAATACCACAAGTGGGTGGCTTTAACAAACAGAAATTTATTTTCTTACTGTTTAGGAAGCTAGAAGTCCAAATTCATGGTGCTGGCTCTAGAGGACAGCTCTCTCTCTGTCAGGCTTTGGAGGAAGGACCTTGTCTCTTTGTGCTTCTACTCCTGGGCAATCTTCATGTGGCTTGGCATCTCTCTTCCTTTGTCTCTGCTTCTTTTGCTTGCTTGTTTAATCTCTTTTATATCTCAAAAGAGATTGACTTAAAACACACCCTACACTAATCCTGTCTTATTAATATAACAAATTGTGGGATTATAACCACAAACACAGAGGTTAGAATTTAAAACACATTATTTGCGGACACAATTCAACCTATAACACCTATCTATGCACACTTACATTCAAATATCAAACTTGAGTTGTGCAACAGAGATCCAGGTAACTAAATAGTTGCATATAGAGCATCCTGATATTTGTAATATAATTTACTTACATAAGCCAACTAACACAATTTATAAAAGGGTAAGGACAGGTTTAATAAATATAACTGTTCTTACAAGTATTATATATGAGCTCTTTATAGTTACTAAAGGCTAAATGATGGTAAGAAATATAATTTTCATAAATCATTATGTTTATTTTTCCTTTAACGGACTTTGAAAATGCAGGAAAAGTGATGGAAAGATGTATAAGTATTTTAAGTTATTATATTTGCCCCATGTGGTAAGCTTGGAGCAGGAAAAAAAAAAATTTTAGGAGGAAATTTAAAAATCATCTACAACCTAGAACCATTATGGCATATTACCTTGCATTTGTATTTTGTAATGTCACTTTTTATTTTAAAATAAGTTCTTTTCTTAGATATGCAATTATTAAAATATAAAAAAGTGTAAAGATGAAGTTTAGTCAACATCCTCCATCCACTGCCCCCCTCCCCCACCAAACAAACAAACAAAAATCATTTGGAAAGGAATTCAGTAAAGTAGCATAAAATAAAAGTTTGTTGCCTTCATATATACAGGAGCCCTGTTGGCACAGTGATTAAGAGCTATGGCTGCTAACTAAAGAGTCGGCAATTCGAATCCACCAGCAGCTCCTTGGAAACCCTGTGGGGCAGTTCTACTCCATCCTCTAGGGTCACTATCAGTCATAATCAACTTGATGGCAACAGGTTTGGGTTCATATATACAAATAATAACTAATTAGAAGATATATAGGAGTAAAAGCATTTTTACTATAGCAACAACAAAAAAGATAAAATTTCTAAAAATAAACATAACAAGAAATACTCAAACCTAACAGGAAAACTTTAGAACATCATTGGAAGTCACCTATGTGGATCTGGAAAATGGCAGGACATCCATGTTCATGAATAGGATGTCCCAAGACAATAAAGGTGTTAATTCTTCCCAAATTAACATGTAAATTTATTGCAAACCCAATAAAAATACCGATTTTTTTTCCTGGAGCTAGACAAAAATCCAAAAACCAAACCCGTTGCCATCAAGTCAATTCCAACTCATAGTGACCCTACAGGACGGAGTAAAACGGTCCCATATGGTTTCCAAGGAGCACCTGGTTAGCAGCTGAGCTCTTAACCACTACACCACCAGAGCTAGACAAGCTGATGATAAAGTTCATATGGAAGAATAAATGAGCAAAAATATCTAGAACAAAATCCTCAAAAGAGCAGTGATGTGAGGCTAATCCTACTAGGTTTTAAAACATACTATAAAAATTACTGTAATTAAAAGACTGAGCTATCGCCACACGAATGGACAAAGAAACAGAGTAGACAGTCTATAAGTTATCTGAAGTACATCTGGAAATGTGGAGTTCCAACCACCATATAATACACTGGGGCAGACACTGCCTAGCAGATGGCACTTTCCTGCCATTAAGGGGCACATCATACTGATAAGCCATTCTCCCCCACTCTTACCCCCAAACACATACTGTCCTTCTATTCACACATTTGTGTAAAAAACAGGATGCAACAATTGTGCTTTTTTAAAAAGGATATATTTATATTATTGATGTATGCACAAATAATTTAGACTATTAAAACCATGGTTATTTTGTGGGAAAAGGGTTGGATGCAAGTGGGAAGAAACTTTTACTTTTGATCATCTATTGTAAAGGATGTGATTTCTTTTTTAGCATGTTCCATGTATTTCTTCTATAATGATTAAATAAAATCAACAAACAAAATGGAAAAAAAGAGACAGCAATCTTAGATATGAATTTTACCCATCTATGGAACCAGCTATGTAAAGTTTAATTGAATAACATTTCTAAATGAATTGGAATGGATCTGAATGGTCATCAAGACATGACTCAATGTAAAAATAACTTCTACAATCCCTACCAAGTGACTGTCCAACCTACGCTTCAATTCCTGAGTAGGGGGTTAAAAGTCTCTCCAATTCATTCTCGAACTGAGACTAACTCTAACAGCTTGCAATTTCTACTCAGTGCTCTTAGTTCTGCTCTCTGGAATCATCTTCTAATCCAGATGGTAGTCCTTGCAGACAGTTATCATACCTTTATCTCTGGATTCTATCCCATCCCACCCCCTAACTAGGTCTCCCCTTTAGTTAATCTTCACATCATCCTTGAAGCAGCCTTGCATAAATATGTGCTCAGCAAAAGCAGCATCACCCAAAGGTGGAGATTCAAATAAGGAAAAGGAAAACCTTACATGATGCCATCCAGCATTAACATGCCCCCTCTCCACCCCCAAACAGAGTCGAAACTCTCAGAGCACACACCTGTTCCACAGATTTCCACTAGTTTTTCCAGACAATTTACAGAAATTACCCTAAGCTGGGTCTTCGCGTGTTTTGTGGTGGGAGCTTTTCAATTCCTCCCTGATACTTGTAATCAAACAGAAACCACTGCCCTGGGCTAGCTGGTAGCACTTCAAGACCTGGGACATCTGGTCATGCTGTTATCCCCAAGGAAAATGCAAAAAATAAAATTCTATAAGAGTATAAGAAGATTGCGGTCAAACATTAAAATGTATCATGGCCCACAAAAAAACCTATCAGCCATCTTGGAGGGCAACTGTTTCCTCCTCTACTTACATTCATCTGAACATATACATTGTTTTGTACTGAAACCAGGGAGCCCTGGCGTAGTAGTTAAGTGCTCAGCTGATAACCGAAAGGTTGGAGGTTTGAACCCACTGGCCACTCTGTAGGTGAAAGATGTGGCAGTCTGCTTCTGTAGAGATGTGCAGTCTTGGAAACCCTGTGGGGCAGTTCTATTCTGTCCTCTAGGGTCACTATGAGTCGGAATCAACTCAATGGCAACAAGTTTGGTTTGGTTTTTTGGTACTGAAACCGTACTGTTAATCACCATATACCTAGTATGTGCTTGGAAGAAGCCCTCATGCAAGACAGCAATCCATTTCTAGGGAATGTGCTACCTACAACTTAAAGGAGAACACTGATATCATGATTATATTCCATTCTACAATGAAAAAATATTTTGTTGTGTTTGCTGTATTTTATATTTGGTTTCAACAGAATTTTCCATTTAAAGTCCATTATGATTTTCCATTACCAAGACATATGTTTCATATACAGTATGTAGTACAGTGTAATATATATATGTACATTTCCAAAACCAAACCAAACCCATTGCCGTCGAGTCGATTCCAACCCATAATGACCCTATGGGACAGAGTAGAACTGCCCCATAGGGTTTCAAAGGAGCAGCTGGTGGATTCAGACTGCTGACCTTGTGTTTAACAGCCGAACGCTTAACCACTGTGCTACAAGGGCCATATATATGTATATAGTATATAATATATAGTATATAATATTCCTATAAGCATATAAAATAGGAGACTTTTTAAAATGAGAAATTATGTAAACATAAAAATGAGATTACAGTTGTTAGATGCATTCATTTGAAGACTATTTGATTAAAATGTGGAATATGGTGAATCAGACTTACTGCTGTGTTTAAACTCTAGCAGGAAATGATTTAACTAGACACTCTTAACATCTGAAACCATGTTTGAAACATAGTAAAAGTAAAATAAGAGAATATATATATTTTTTTTTACCATGGGAAAAGCTACACGTGACAGCAGCAGCCATCTTCTGAGGACACGTCTCACCCTGCCAGATGTCTTTCTCACAAAGCAGTATATTTTCTTCATCTCCTCGGCAACGAACATTGCTCCAATAAATGGGAATAAGGCCCAGTCCAGAAAACGGTGTTTGTTTTGCTACTCCTTTTCCTCTGGAAGTAGAATGATCAATATTAGATTTTAAAAATGTAGGTGACATTTTTTTTTATCAAAGTATTTAAATTTTAAAAAATGGAAAAAAACCAACAAAGATGAATATGGGAAAAAAGGACAGAAAAAATCAATGGATTACATAAATTTCAAGGGAATCAAAATGCCAGATTGGAACTTAGGCTGATTATCTATGGCAATCTGAAAGTGTTTTTAACAATCTTGAATAACTATTGATATGTATGTGCCTTTACTACCTATGGCTGTCTTTAGAAGAAAATGGGCACATACTATAGATATAAAAATGGAGTCTCAGTGGCCTCACAGAAGAAGTGTGGCATGAGGCCCAATGAGGCTTGGATTCTGGTCTGGACTTAGCTACAAATCACTCTCCAAGGCTCTGTCTTCTAATGTGCAAAATGAGACATCTGGATGCTTGAGGATTCTTTCTGACTCTAGTATTCCATGCTAGCATTTTCAAAAATTATTATTATTACTGCATCTAAGCAAGATAATATCAAGAGAGCAATGTATTTATAATTTTTAAAAATCTTATATATATATTCTTTGCTAGTAAGACTTTGAAACTGATTATTAAAATAATAACTTGCAGATGGGCTCTACTCTTAGCACATCCAATCCGCACATTTTTAAAAATAACCTCTGATGTGTACAAGCTGATATAAAATTTTTAAAAAAATCAAATGCTTATCTGATTAATATGGTAATCTTTAGAATTAGAATTGTCTCCATGCTACAGCTTCCATCAACCAAACGATAAATATTCGGGGTATGTCTAAAATAGAAATATGTCTCAACAGCAATAAAGCTGGCTTGCTCTGTTGTTATTGTGCAAATTTTTTTTTAATGGACTAATGAGGGATGATATGAGTAATCAGATGGGCTTACCTGAAGTTTATGTCTGCTGAAGATAGGTTACATTCTTTCATCAATAAAAAGACTAGTAACCACACTGTAGTTCACATCTCCATTATATTATCCTTGCTTTCTTTATGCCTGAGGCTCATAGGAAATGTTTTTTTCTTCCATGATTTTCAGGGGTAATAAAAGCACATGTAGATATGTATATAAGGGAAGACCAGCCTACAAATTTGTTAGATCTACCAGTCCTCAAAGGAAAAAAGCATCAAATCAATATTCAGTGTGATCTTCCCACCTGCCAACGGCTGTTTGCAAGGCTAAATATTCATTGATAAAAATAGTAATTAACATTCCTAAAAATTTTATAGATTCTGGAATTACTACTTCTTTCATCCTGGTTTATACTAGCCCTCATTTTTAAAAATAGCTAACTTAATTTTAATTTAATAACTTTAATGCCTTAGCTCCACTTGCTTCTCTAATAACAACAAGAGTCTGATAATCTGAATAAAACTTAGACCTTCAAGGTTTACTAAAATACCTTTACTAAATACCTATTCCTCCACCTTCTCAGTGACAAGAGCAGAGGGAGCTGGCAAATTAAAGTTCTTACTATTTTGACTAGATTTGAGTAACTGCTCCTTTTGTATCATCACATTAGATATCAGCACTCCCTGGTTATTAATCCAAAATATTTGTAAATTGCACATCTTTTTTGCAGTCTTTTAGACCTGCATTTTTAATAGCAAGATATCTCCCATGCTTTCTAAAGATCTCTGGAAATAAACGCCAAGAAAAATATATACTATGTGCACTTAGGAAAAATTACCTAAGACATAAAAAGAGAACAACAAAATGGAGCTTTCAGCTCCTGGTGAAGCACCATGGCACCGGCATGAAAGTGCTGGGGTTCGTGGAAGTCAATGTACACGGACCTGTTTTAAAGAGCATGTCTACAGTTATGGAGGAGCTGGTCCCTGAGCAGAGAACCACAGCCTCTCAGAATGGCAGGACACTTCAAGGGTTGATCAAAGCACCTGAGGCCCAGGATATAACCCCTTAACCCATTCCAGGATAAGAACATAGGTGAATATCACTTCCTTCACACACACACAAAATGAACTTGTGGATGGCTAAAAGCAGAAAGTTAAAAGCCAATGAACCACCTGAAGAGACATTTCACCAAAGAGGACATTCAAATGGCAACCAAAACACATGAAAAGATGCTCAACGTCATTAGCCATCAGAGAGATGCAAATCAAAACCACAATGAGATACCACTTCATTCCCATTAAGATGGCTAAGATATATGAAAAAAAAAAAAAAGCCAATGAATCTTGAAAACATTTTGCTGAGTGAAGTAAGTTAATTAACAAAAGGGCAAATATTACATGATACCACTTATATGAAATACCAGAACAGGCAAATGTATACAGATCAGAGTTTAATAGTGGTTACTAAGGGTGGGATAAGGAGGAATCACTGTTTAGGATGCATTGAATCTCTGCTTATGTGATGGAAAATTAGGCAATGGATATTGGTGATGGTAGCACAACAGGATGGAAGTGATCAGTGTCATTGAATTGTACACATGAAAGATGTTGAATTGGCAAATGTCGTGTTATCTATGTTTTTACAACAACAATAATAATAAAGCCCGGGACAACTTAGGCTGCACGAGCTACTGAAAAATTACAATTCTTAGACTCATATTACTTGCTTCCTAGACCTAAACAACTATTTTGTTAAAGCCAAAGACCAAAAGATATGTTTACCCTTTGTCCACTTAGCATTTGCTCATTTCTTAGTTCTATGACGGTAGTAATACCTGAAATACATTTGTGGATTAGAAATTCATTCTTTCCACTTGGGCCCTTTCTTCATAGCTCTTTTGCAGAGTGAGAATGAGGAAGGTGAAAGTGAGGAAGGAAAACGTCACCTTTCCATAGCAATCATGGATGTCCAGTATTATTCTCATATGTGAGCAGACTGCTTTGTCCAGGGATGGGGAAACTCACCGAAGCTGCAGCTGGTGACAGACGACTGACGCATCAGAATCATCCCAGTGGCTGCTACAGACTGTGCCCCAAGCACCATTTGCAAATACTTCCACTGTGCCTTCAAACTCATTCTTGCCACCGCGAAGTCGTACTGACCCTAAAGTGAAAAAGAATCCCCAAATCCCTTAATAGCAAATAATCATTTGAACACACTGAGCCAGTTCTCAGTGAACATGATTTTCACACTAAAGTGGTGAGAGATCCAGCCAGAATAACTGTCTCCCCTGTTCACAGCATGTGCTCCTTCCTTTAAATTGGGATTTAACAAGCTTTTTTGCAATAAACATCTTGATGTCAATACAAATTATAAAATGTAATGTAGTTACAAAAAAAACCAAATCCATTGCCATCAAGTCGATTCCAACTCATACTGACCCTATAGGACAGAGTAGAACCGTTTCATAGGATTTCCAATGGCTGTAGTCTTTATGGAAGCAGACTGTCACATCTTTCTCCCAAGGAGCAGCTGGTGGATTTGAACCGATGACCTTCCAGTTAGCAGCCGAGTACTTAACCGCTGTACCATGAGGGCTCCTTAATGTAGCTATACTTTTTTTTTTTAATCAAAGCAGACAGTCCAATTGTAACTTTAAAAGGGGAAAAATGAAAGAGTATGACTAATGCCTAATGTTGCATCTCAAATATTACATCATATATTAATTTATCATTTATGTATTACCTTCTAACTTCACATGAGGCAACAGATAAGAAACACAGGACCAAAATTCAATACTCTGCTTACAAAACAGCTGTAATGTGCTTTGCTACAGCTTCCTTCTATTTGATCTGCTCATCCACTAATGAAGAATAAAGTGCTTTGCCCCTTTTAACCTCAAGCAGTAGTCAAGAAAATTCTAAAGATTATGTCCATAATTTCAAAAAGGTACGAATTAGTTTTGTCAACATTGCTTAATGTTGGTGTTGTTGAGTGCTACAAGTCAATTCCGACTCATAGTCAGAATAGTGACCCTATAGGACAGACTGCCCAGAGAGTTTCCAAGGAGTGGCTGGTAGATTCAAACTGCTGAACCTTTTGGTTAGCAGCCTGAGCTCTTAACCGTTTTGCCACCAGGGCTCCTGCCTAATGTTGGCCTTACGAAAACTGCCACTAGATAGAGTGGTTAAGTATAATCAAATGCCCCTGGAAATTCATCTCCCCTTACATACCACCTCACTGAGCTGCCTGATAAGTCCACCATTTGAGATATTTTTTTTTCAGTCTTTAAAAGAGCCAAAATTTAAATTCAAACACCTATGAGAAAGATGACATTTTAAGTCTTATCTGTTAAGCGTAGATCAAGGCCTCTTATCGTTGTGACGGATTTGCAGAGCAGGTTGCTGGGGGCATTAACTGCTACACTTAAATAGAGATAGAATCAAACTCAGACAACTTAAGAATTTCATAAAATTCTGTTAAATGTCACCTATGATGGCCTTTATTTTATAAAGAAATTAAGTCCTGCAAAAAAAAGTTCCTGAGCATTTTGCATATTTCAAAGTTCTTATGCATGGCTTTTAAATAATTTTCCAAAATTATTAGATTCACAATAATCCATTTATTTCATTTGCACTGACATAGTCATCTACCATGGAGCCCTGGTGGTGCAGTGGTTAAGCGCTCAGGCTGCTAACCAAAAAGTTGGCAGTTCGAATCCACCAGTTGCTCCTTGGAAACCCTATGGGGCAGTTCTACTCTGTCCTGTACGGTTGCTATGAGTCAGAATCGACTCAACGGCAATGGGTTTAGTCATCTTCCATAATTATTTTCCATGTCACCAGCCTTAAAAAAAATTGAGCATTTAAGGAAAATAAGTCCTATTTCTCCTACAAATACAAAGTCTCATTTAACTGAAACAAAAGGCAGTAGTAAATGGAGACAGATATTATACTGCCAACTCCTGGTTATCCAGGAAAGGAACACAGACACAGGTCATTCAAATGGTTCATACAATTTGCTGTTGTTGTTACTTGCCATCGAATAGATTCTGATTCATGGCCACCCCATATATTCAGAGCAGAACTGCTTGATAGGGTTTTCAAAGACATGAACTTTTGGAAGCAGATCACCAGGTCTGTCTTCCGAGGTGCCTCACCTCTCAGTGGGTTCAAATCACCAACTTTTCGGCAAGTAGTTGAGCAAGCTTAACCGTCTGAGCCACCAAGGAACAGCTTCATGTATTTTAAAACTCTTTACTGCAGTCTAGGAGTCCCAGGTGGTGCAAATGGTTAATGCAATTGGCTGTTAACTAAAAGGTTGGTTGTTCAAGCCATCCAGAGATGGACTTGAAGAAAGGCCAGACAAGCTACTTTGGAAAAATCAGCCATTGAAAACCCTATGGAGCACAGTTCTACTCTGACACACATGGGGTCGCCATGAGTTGGAATCGACTTGATAGCAATTGGTTTTAGTTTTTAACTCAGTCTAAGCAAGAGGAGAGACCTGTCTGGTTCAGTGAAAAGTGTGAATTACAGAACATTTTTAAAGGAATACGTCTGAAGAGTTCAATTGTACTTTAATAATTTTTTTAATCACAAAATCTCTTCTGCAGAGACCTATATACTATTATGCATATCACAACTGCCAGCAGTTATTTCAGATCAAAGAATTCATTTGTTCACCACAAACATTATTTGAAATACCTAAATGAATCTATTACCTCTTTATTAATTGCCTACCCATATTACTCATGTCAAAAAGGTTGGAAAATGAATAAACAAAATGTGGTATATCCACACAATGGAATACTACTCAATAATGTCCTGATACATGCTATAACATGGATGAACCTTGAAAATATTATGCTGAGTAAAATAAGTCATTACAAAAGGACAAATATTGCATGACCATACTTAGATAAAATAACAAGAATACGCAAATGTATAGAGACTAAAGTTTTATTAATGGTTACCAGGAGCTAGAGAGAGGAAGAAAAGGGGAACCATTGTTTAGGAAGCAGTGAGTTTGTTAACGGCAATAGGAAATTTTGCAACGTTTATGGGGCATAAATGCACAGCATGACTAATGTAATTGATATCACTAAATTGTACACCTGAAAAATGTTGAATTTGCAAATGTTGTGTTATATATATTTTTACAACAATAAAAAAGAAAGGTAAAAATGTACATAATCAAAGAATGAAGAGTCAAAAAATTAGAATAAAAATAGAACATATGATTAAAAAAAGGGTTGGAAGATGAACAGATTAACAAAATGCTGTATATCCACACAAAGGAATATTACTCCACCATAAAGAGAAATTAACTCCTGATACTTGACACGAGATGGACAGACCTTGAAAACATTATACTGAGTGAAACACTGGTAAGTTAGGCACAAAAGGACAAATATTGTATGATCTCACTTATATGAAATATCTAGAATAGGCAAATGCATAGATAAAAAAGTTTATTAGTGGTTACTAGGGTCCAGGTATTGATCATAACAAATTATGGATAACATTGTGAAGAATGAGAATTCTATAACACTTAACTGTGCTCTTGAGGAACCTGTACATAGACCAACAAGCAGTCATTCAAACAGAACAAGCGGATACTGCATGGTTTAAAATTAGGAAAGGTGTGCATCAGGGCTGTATCCTTTCACCATACTTATTCAATCTGTATGCTGAGAAAATAATCTGAGAAGTTGGACTACGTGAAGAAGAACACAGCATCAGGATTGGAGGAAGACTCATTAACAACTGTGATAGGCAGATGACACAACCTTGCTTGCAGAAAGTGAAAAGGACTTGAAGCACTTACTGATAAAGATCAAAGACTACAGCCTTCAGTATGGATTACACCTCAACATAAAGAAAACAAAAATCCTCAGAATTGAACCAGTAAGCAACGTCATGATAAACAGAGAAAAGACTGAAGTTGTCAAGGATTTCATTTTACTTGGATCCACAATTAACACCCACGGAAGCAGCAGTCAGGAAATCAAATGACATATTGTATTGGGCAAATCTGCTGCAAAAGATCTCTTTAAAGTGTTGAAAAGCAAAGATGTCATGACAGGTGAACCTGACCCAAGTCATGGTATTTTCAATCTCCTCATACGCACGCGAAAGCTGGACAATGAATAAGGAAGACCGAAGAAGAATTTATGCCTTTGAATTATGGTGTTGGTGAAGAATATTGTATATATCATGGACTGCCAGAAGAATGAACAAATTTGTCTTGGAAGAAGTACAGCTAGAATGCTCCTCAGAAGCGAGGATGGTGAGACTTTGTCTCATTACTTTGGACATGTTATCAGGAGGGACTAGTCCCTGGAGAAGGATATCATGTTTGGTAAAAGTAGAGGAACAGTGAAAAAGAGGAAGACCCTCAATGAAATGGATTGACACAGTGGCTGCAACAATGGGCTCAAACATAGCAACTAGTGTGAGGATGGTGCAGGACCAGGCAATGTTTAGTTCTGTTGTGCATACAGTCACTATGAGTCGCAACTGACTCCACAGCACCTAACAACAACAGGGTCCAGGGGAAAATAATTGCTTAAATGGTGCTGAGTTTCTGTGTAGGGTGACAAAAAATACTTGGAAACGGTTACAGAACATGGTGAATGTAATTAATCTCACTGAATTGTACACTTAAAAATGGTTATATATATTTAACCACAATATTTTTTTTAATAAAGGACTGGAAAAAAGTTGTCATGAAAGCAAACGGAAACTCTACTTATGCATCATAAATAATCTAAGTGTGTGTTTTCACAACGAAGTATTGCCTAACTCATCAAAAAGCTATCAAGAAGAAATGAATGCATGCATATCATTTAAATTATTAAGGCACTTAAAGATGAGAAGGAGAAAGCATTGCATAAAATCTAATTATTACTTTGACATCCTTATAATGGCAAGGATAGAGCTGGAAATAGTTTCCAGGTCAACTATTAGCACCACCGTCATTTCTCAGACACTTCATACATGCTGTGAAGGCCTGGATTCATTTAGCTGTATCTGCTATATGGCAAGAAATTCAGACTTCTCATCTAATTTCCTTTACCAATGAATACAAATGTTTGCAATTCTGAAGATCCAATTTGCATGTCAATGACTAGTTAATTCTCTCTCAGACTCCACTCCCAG